GGGAGGGCTGTTTGTTACCATGGGCCTGGGGAAGGCATGATGGGAATTAGCCTCTCCCAAGTGGGAGGAGCGGAGGGCCGTCCGTCAGGACTCCGGGCATGGGGTAGAGCGGTATTTCCCAATGTGTGTGAAGGAGTGGGGGCCGTCCTGTCAGGACTCCGGGCATGGGGTAGAGAAGTCCTTCCCAGTGTGTGTAGCGGGTGCATAGTGGACATGGTTATTTCTTTCTCGCAGATTCTCTGAGGAGGGGAGACTGCACCAAGTGGCAGGAGGGTCACAGGTTAGATATAGAAATACAGATAGTTGGTCAGAGAAGCAGAAAACCCAGAGAGTGGAGCGCATTTCAGGCTTTTGGTGGGAGTGGAGAATTGTAGCCAAGTGGCTGGGAGATGGGCCAGGGCAGGGGGCAGATGGATGGGGTCACCCGCCCCTCTGTGTTCACCTTCCCAGCACATCCCCTCCCCCACCCCCCAACCCCCGCTTTTCACTGCTCCTTGTCTGTTTAAGGGTTGTACAGCTGAGTGGCCCGGCCTTGTCTGTCCAGGCTGCCCGAGCCTGGGCTTTGCCGTAGTCACTCCAGTGGGAGTTGAGCATTCTGCATCTTCGCCTCGCACCAGATAACGGGTGCTGTGCTGGGGGATGCTGCGCTGGGGGATGCGGGCACAGCTGGCTGTGCGAGGGCCTGCTCAGCACCCTGCGTAGGACAAGAAGCAGAAATACTGTGTGTGCACATGCAGTAAGAGGCCCCAGGTCAAGTCCAAATGTCGGGAGCAAGTGGTGATTCCAGCGGACCCGGAAAGCTTCAGCTGTGCGCTTGGCAGCTTTTGCCGGGATGCTGGGGATCTCTTGTGGCACCACTTTCACGGTCTTTCCTCACCTTCATTTTTCTAGGAAGAAAAGAAACAGCACTCCAGGGACTGCTGGGCTGTCCCCTTGGCTGCGTACACTGTGCTTATGAGGTGCCTCCGGGAAGGGGTAAGGAGCCTTTGTTGTCCTCTGTAGACCTGGCCACTGCAGTCGCCCTCCAGGCGAGGAGCAGGGAGCGGAGCGCAGCCCACAGCGGTGCACACTTGCCGTCAACCAGCTCTTGCTCCTGAATTTAAATAATCTGGCAGGCCGCATCCCCGCTTAAGTGTCCTGCGTAAAAGATGGTGGGATAGCCAGGTATGGTGGCACACGCCTTTAATCCCAGCCCTCAGGAGGCAGAGGCAGATGGAACTCTGAATTCAAGGTCACCTTGGTCTGTAGAGTGAGTTCCAGGACAGCCAGGGCTACACAGAGAAACCCTATCTCAGGAAAAAAAAGGAAAAAAAAGATGATGGGAAATGCAGACAATGTGGCCTGACCATCCTCTATAGCAGTGATTCTCAACCTGTGGGTTGCATATCAGATATTCTGCATATCATATGTTTACATTAAGATTCATAACAGCAGCAAAATTACAGTAATGAAGTAGCAACAGAATAATTTTATGGTTGGGGGTCATCACAACATGAGGAACTGTATTAAAGGGTCAAAGCATTAGGAAGGTTGAGAACCACTGCTCTGTAAGATGCTGTTAATTACCCTGCCTCCGTCCAAGATTTTTCTAGGGCAGCCCAGCAGGCAAGATGTGTGCAGAGCCCTCCGTGAGCCCACCTGACCACGATGAGCTTGTCACTG